AATTGTAAATGGGAATGTGAGAGCGAGAATATCCCTCTCTATCTATATATATATATATATATCTAAAATGCCAAAGCTCACACACAACTTTTAACTCTCACATCATCGCATATATGATTGTTGTAATGTCGAAATGTTTCGGCACAGAACAAACTCTGAATGGCAAAAGCATTCCACCGCACACTTACCGTACAAAGTAATTCACACTCGTTCGCTACGGGCACTCATCCCTGAATTAATATTTCCTTCACATACCGCTTGGTTTTATGTTTTTCGGCGCTATCGCATTTTCGAGTGATGGAAACCAAAAGAGGGAGAGAGAGGGAGAGAGAGAGAGAGCGCGAGAGACAGGAAAAAAAACTTTTTCCGGTGAAATAATTCACTTTTATAATTTGTTATTTTATCTATTTGTGCCTGTCAAACAAATAATAATCCAATCGGTTTGTCTGTATGTATGTATGTATGTGTGAAAACTCGCACACCGTCACTCGTTGTCTCTCTCACTCTCCATCGTTCGTTCGTTCGCATCTCGAATTCGGTGTGCTCTTATCTCTTTGTGTGAATTGAGTAAAGTACGTTTGGGTTTTAAGTCGGCGACTCGATGGTATGAGCACACACATCCACTCTTTCTGAGGTTTTTATTGAAGTTGTGACAGATTTGTTATATGTTTTAAGAAAATCCAAAAGCTGTTACGCCGTAAATGTATTTTCACTTTTTTATGCGTGTTGCTGCTGCTGCTGGTGCTCCTTTCTGCAATTGTGTGTATGTTGTTTTTTATATGTTCGGTCGTTGTTGATGTAATTCTCTCGTCTCTTTGTTGTTGTTGTTTATCCCGCTTTCATCAAGTTTTTTTTCCCACTTGTCATGCTGCATTCGCACACATATCATACCATGTCTCTTCTTCTTCGGTGCAAATAAGATATAGTAAAGTGTATAAGTGTGAAAAGAAAAAAATATATATATAAAATACAAAAGGAATTAAAGAAGATGAAGAGCAATGCAAAAGTATTCACAAACAAACACACATATACGCCAACAGTGGCAAAGCCAACGAACCAACAGCAGCAGCAGCAGCAGCAGCAGCAGCAGCAGCAACAACAAAACAAACATACAAAAAAAAGACGAAACGGAAAATCGGCACACATATCGGGAAACGAAAAAGTGTTCCATCCAAAACAGTGGCATGGGAAAAAGGACCCGAAAGAAAAGAAACGAAACGAACAGAAAGAAAAATACAGCAAACTTTTTAATGTACACTTTTCAAAAACACATAATACAACACAAGAATAAAGCGAAAGCAATAAGAATAAGTAGTCGGTAGTAATGCTTGCCGTGCAACAGGACTATTGCAAAGACACGAATCCCCGAACCGAGAGAATCAACCAACCAACAAACGAATCAAATGAAGAAAAAAAAAACCAGCAGCAGCAAGTGAAAAAAGCCGAATAACGAAGCGTTAAAGAATTTGCTCCCTATAAAAATGTATATATTTATACATATATATATATATTTTCGGATGGCTAAAATAAAAGTACTGTAATCCCCAAGCTTTTGCACACCGAATTGTTGCTATGTCGAATTGTGCGCTAAGCTTATAGGCCCTAATGCATGTTGGGAAACGCCGTTTTATTCGGTATTTTCAGCATCTTTTGGTATTAGAGAATGTGTGTCTGTGTGTGTGTGTTTATGTGTGAGAGCGCGCTTTCAGCTCCTTTGTGAGCCGATCATTCAGTTATAGTATATCCCTTTTTTTGTTTGTTTCCATTGACTTTCTTCCTTTTTCGACCCTTTTCACTGTTATTTGCTTTCGCGTTGCTGCTGCTGATGTCTTTTTTTCGTTCGTTCGTATGTGTGTGTGTGTGTGTGTGTGTGTATGTTGCGGGACTTCTTCTCGGTTACACTCACGAAATGAATGAATGAACCAAGCGACTGAAACGATGTATTTGCTTGCGTTTAATGTAAACTTCAAATGCATGTGTGTATTTTGTTGTACAATTTTGTTTTTATTCTGTGTTTAGTTTTGTTTTTCCGTCTCTCTCTTCATTGAAACAAGTTAGCTTCCAGTGGTGGATGCTGTTGCATATATGGATCTTTCTGGCTGAAATATTAACGCATTAATTTAAATAAATAATAGAATTGGTTTGTATACATTTTGGATTGTGTGCATTTCGTTCGGCAGTCGTTCGTTTTGGTTTTCGCCGATCACCGGAATAGCGAGTGGCTGGCTGACTGGCTGGCTGGCTATGTTCATGTGCGATGATGCACTAAGAGAAAGAGCACAAAACAGTACTGGTTCGACGGTATGCCAAAGCCAAAATGTGAATTGCGATTTCATTGGTAAAATTCGGTTTCAGGAATCCGTATAAGAGATAAGGAGAGGGAACGAGAGCTAAAGCCTCAGTGGCTCGAATGTTTACATGTGAGCACACGCGTATGTTTGCCAGTGCGATGAACACAAAATTTTAGCACAGGTAGAGAAAATGTTTTATGGTGCTTTTCACTTACAAAACAGACATATATCCTACCTCCCGCTCCTCTCCGCAAAAAAAAAAATAGTTCAAATATAATCTTCATTGTTTCTGCACGAATTGTTTCGTTTAATGTATTCGCAATCGGCATCAGTATCAAAGTGGCGTATGTGTGTGTGTGTCTCTCTCTCTGTCCCAGTGTATTTATCAAGCATTGTGCTTTCGCTGTTTGCTCCCTCTCTCTCTTTTTCTACGCTCAGCTCAATCCACAGCGCTTCCAAATACACCACTGATACACCACATAACCCAAGCACACACATTTCACTCAATTCGAAACGTTAACATTATATTTATATTTGCGTTTCGTCGAATGTGTGTCTGTTTGGATTTCTGTATCACTATGTAGTAAATATCTAAAGCAAACAGAGTATACATTTCACTCGATTTCTCTCTCTTTCTCTTCTCTGCCCGAGCAAGAATTTTCTTTTTACAAATATATCCAGATACATACACAAGAGAAACGAAGAAGGGAAGAAAAACGCAAAGTACATTTCTCTGATTCGATTGCCGGGGCTGTGAAAATGCCAGCATACTGTTTGTGTATTTACTCTAGCATTCACTCCTACTGTGCAATGGATACATACATACACAAACACACATCTATATATCTCTATCCAGCTATGGCTAAAAGAAAATTCACTAAATAAAATTATAATAACACAAAAAGCGAAAACTTCAAGACAAATGAAAAATTTTCTTTCTCGCCGAGAAAAGACAAAAGTTTAATAAGTTGGTGTTAAGAAATGTCTATGTATTCCGAAGTCATTTTCCACCCAGCTAAAAGCCAAAAACTTGTGCCTATCCGCAAACACAAATGATACCGAATCAACAACAACGGCCCCGGCAAACGAACAGTGCAAAGCATAGCGAAGAAGAAGAAGAAGGAGAGAGAGAGAGAGAGAGAGAGAGAGAGAAAAAAAGCACCGAACGAGTGAACGAACGAACAGAAAATGAACAACAACAATAACGAGAAAGAAGAATAAAAAAAATGAAATAACGGCAAACAGCCGTGATAAGGAGGCGAAATGCAAACGAAAGCGAAAAGATGACGAAAACAAAAATGAAAAGAAAAAATAAATAAAGAAGAAATAATAAAATAATGCTTTCGTGCTTTTTTCACACTTTTTCACACCCCTCGTGCACTTGAAAATGATTAACCAAAACCAAATGTATATGTATATTTGCCGCTCTATCTCTCCGCATGCATGTTTAATATATATATATATATATATATACACTACCGTGCAAAAGTTTGGAACCACTAGGTATTTTTCATACAAATTGACCATTTTTGGTGGACTCATTAACATATTTCGGAAACATCTGCACTCTTGATATTTTGTGCATAGTTTCTACAACGTTTCAATAGTAAATCACAGAGGTTTCATCAAAAAATATTCATGAATTTCAAAAATATAGCAATTTGAATTTGTACTGTGTGAAAAATGATCAAATTTGTATGAAGATTAAAACAGATCAAATTCAAATTGATATATTTTTTAAATACGTGAATATTTTTTGATGAAACCTCTGTGATTTACTATTGAAACGTTGTAGAAACTATGCACAAAATATCAAGAGTGCAGGTGTTTCCGAAATATGTTAATGAGTCCACCAAAAATGGTCAATTTGTATGAAAAATACCTAGTGGTTCCAAACTTTTGCACGGTAGTGTATATATATTTCCATCTTTTCAAATATAGAAAACAAAAAAGCCAAATATTCCAACAACAGCATGAGTAGCTGAATGGCAGAGTAGTAGCATTGCATTATTGTTATTATTATTCACGCATTTTGAGCATTCGAAATGTACAGTGCTTCGCCTGTGCTTTGGCAATGCCGAAATGTACATAAATATAAATGTATTTGCCGTAATTTCGTTTTGTTGGTCTGTCAGCTGGCACTCACGCGCGCATCAATTTAATTTTCACACTCATATACACACACACACACAGCACGCCCGAACTCACACTCGAAGTAGGCAGGCTGGCAGTCATTGTGAGAGCGGTGCGGTGCTGCTGTTGCTGCTGAGTGTATATCAGTGGAGCGAAAGACAATCAACGCACATTAAATTGCAATATGGATTATATTCGTTATAATTTTGTATGCTTTTTTTTCTTTTTCTTTTCATATTCTCTCCCTCATGGCGATGCCTGGTTCCATATTTTTCCTGACGCTTCATTTTTGATTTTTGGCTCTTGGCTGCTGGCTGCTTGCACGTGCTCTCCGTGGATTTTGGATCATCGCTTTTGCTACACAATTACACATCACCACCGTATATCTTGTGTGTGTACGCCCGCGTTCACCCCTCCGTCTGGATTGGATTCAACACGAATGTGCTTTGGTGCCGTTGCTGCTGTTGACTGTACAAATTGTATGCATTTCGCGCGCGCGGCATTTCATTCGAAACCGAATGGGAATGAAAAAAAAATGGTGTGTGTGTATAATATCTATGTATAACACTATAATAGGGACCGATCCAAATTTGGCAGCCGCATACGTATCAGCCGGTCTGCCACAATTTGCAACATCAGCATTGTCAACGCAGTCTGCACTTGGTAATGTGGCTCTACAATCCGCCGCTGGCAATGTACCCATTGGCAAACAAATAGAAGGTAAGTGTGCAAATAACACGTAGCAATTATTTTATAAATTATAACAATGGCAATCGTCATAATCATCATTTTTAATGGAACATGGAATTATGTTAATCAACCAGTCAGAGTTTGTTGAAATTTGGGTTCGATTGTATTTGTCGACAAATGCACATCTCGTTGCTCGTTTTGTCAATGAGTGGCGTCCAAAAGAGCGCAACAGCGAGCAAATAAAAAAACAAGGTGAGAGAACGCATGCCGCGGCATACACTGACGTGTTTCGATCACGTCAATTGATCGATTCGTCCCAAGTTGACGAGGGCATAAATTAGATCGCGAGACACACGCATGCACACACACGGAGCACGCTCCAATGTGCGAACGAAATGAATCGAAACGAATAAAAATCCAATGACAAATGCAGTCACATCAACGACCCGTGATAAACAATATGAAAAACCGGGGCGTTAAATTAAAAGCAACCAAATATAACCAAAATTAACGACGGATCCATCTGGATGCTTTCGTTTAAATCATAAATTTTAACAACTTTAAGTACTAAAACTAATTGAACCTAAAAACCAACCATGTTCCGCATAAGCATCGCATCGCATCGCGCCACCATCTATTTATCGACGATGCTGGGGCCATTCGCTAGAAACGAAGTGAAAACTTGTGTGCGAGAGTTACAACAAAACAAATAACAATTAAAATTAATTTATTATGCTTATGGTTGTGTACTGTTTTCGTAGTTGTTCTCGCCCGAATTAGTCGAATATGTATTATTTGGCTTTCGAATGTGAAACCGGCGAGTGTGAGAGTGTGCTGTTGCACACCCAAAACTTCGCCCCTAATGTTCGCCGATTTATGGTTTTCTTTTCGTATCGTTGGTCTAATGATCAAATTGTTTAAACACATGAAAATGCGATGTTTTCAAATGTTTTCAAATGTTATCGTTGTGTCTCGCGGGCGGGCGGGCCGGACGCTTTCGCGTGCTCGCACTCGTTCTCGTAAACGAAGCTTTTGCTCGCTTGCTCTTGCTTTGCCTTGTGAGGCCCTTCAACGTTGCCACCGTTTACACGCTCCCCATGTTATGTTGTACAATTGTTGGGATATTTCATGAGCTTTAACATTTGCTAACCAAAAATTTGATTTTATTAACCAAACTCAATGGGACCGGGCCGCTGATGTCTTTTCAGTCGTGTCGTAATATTATATACTTTTTTTCTGTTCTCCTTCTTTTTCGTTCATTAATTCACTTGAATATATTTCTTATTTGTTCTTTTTTTTTCTTTTCATTCTATTCGTTATGCTGTTTATGTTCATGCCTTTTACTTGGTTCCGCAATCGACTAACCAACCAATGAAACCATTTAAATGTGTAACTGGAATCATCACTCTGGATGGATATTCTTATGGACGGCGCGCATTCTATTTATCCCTCGATCCTGTTGACGATGACGATGACGACGACGACGACGACGACCACAACCACGATGATGATTGCGTTTGATGTGTGTGATGGCTGACAAAAACATTGACGTGTGCGTACGCGCCCATGTTCTCTTATTCGTTTGTGGTCCAAATCAACGCAGATGCTGCAAATCTTTTTATTTATCATTTGCCACAAGAGTTCACCGATACGGATTTGGCATCGACGTTTTTGCCATTTGGTACGGTGATTTCGGCCAAAGTGTTCATCGACAAGCAAACGAATTTGTCCAAATGTTTTGGTTTTGTTTCATATGATAATCATGAATCGGCACAGGCGGCTATCAAAGCAATGCATGGTTTTCAAATTGGAACGAAACGACTGAAAGTGCAATTGAAAAAACCAAAAGATGCCTCGAAGCCTTACTAAACGAAGCGAAAAGTAGCTGTCGCATTCACTGGGCGCGCTCGTTTAATCGGTGCTCGCCAATCACCTAGCTAGTGATGATGATGATGAAAAATTGAAGAGAATGAAATCATTGTTAAAGCAAATAACAAACACACACACAAAACCCCGAGATTTACAACAAACAAATACTTATACATACACCGAAGCTATCCGCAAAAACCAAATCAACACACAATGGTCGCGTCACCATTAAGAAAAAAAAATCAACAACAACATACACACATAGCCTCACCCGCTAACAAACGCAACGCAATTTTCTTTTTACTTATATTTGCTTTATGTTCATCTTCTTCTTCACATTTTTAATTTTCCATAGATTGCGTTCAGAAAAACCACATATTTTTCTTTCTTCTTCGTTGCTTCTTATGTAGTATTTCGATGATACAAGCGAATTACGTCGATTTCACACTTTACAAATTTTTCTGGTTATTTGGAGAAATGCTTTTGAACTTTTATTTCCGAAACCGTTTTTTTTCCTCTTTATTATTATATTTTGCTCTTTTTTTTTATTGCGGTTGATATATCTATATAAATATATATATATATAAAAAAATATATATATATATATATATATATTTGAAATGGATGCGATACATCTGTTGAAATGAAGAAAAAGGAAATTAGAATTTGAATTTATGTACTTATTTTATGATTTATAAATAACCGCCGCCGTTGTCGCAATCATCCTCTCACACACACCGATGAGCATATTTATGTATGTGTATGATGAACTGTCAATCGATTGATATAACATTCCGATTCGGCCGATTTTCGGGTGAGAGTTCAGGTGGAACATTGAACCGAAAATTTAAAACTAAAGAAAAAAAAAACAAGTGAAAGATATAAGGTACAGAATTAAGGAATTAAGAAAGATTGAAAATCAATTAAATATTAATCAATATACAGTTTAAGTATATTAAAACGTGTGTGTTTTTTTATTCTGAATGGAAAAACATGTACGTATATTCGGTTTGACCACGTGACAAATGAATGTCAGAAACAGCGTGAATCAACCGAATGACAACCAGTTGTTTGTCAATCACAAACGCAAAAATCTTTAAACGTAGATAGATCATTTCATACAAATAATTCAATAATAAACGGAAAAAAAATTCGCTAGTAAAATGGAGAACACAAAAAAAATCTGAACTAAAAGAAAAAAAACCAGTAATTTAATGTAAATTATAAGGAAAAAAAAGACAGAATTTTAAAGTCGATGATAAAATGCGCACGTGTCGAGATTTATTTTTTGCTCTAGAAAAAATTCTTCAATAGAAATCGAATTGTGTTCGAACCACGCAACACATACACAAAAGAAAACACTTCTATTACACCGTGTGAGTGTGATGGAAAATAAGAAGAAGATAAATTGTAAATGTTCGAAAAATAGGCAAAAGTAAATCGAAAATCGACTCGTGTCACGCATTTAGGTTATAGTTTAATTACTAGGTGATTTGAATGAATAAATGAAAAGAAAGTGAAGAGAAAAAAAAATACAAATGAAACAAATTGTTTCAAACAATGTCGATAAAATATGAAACATAAGTCGATAACATAAAGAAAAAGAGAAAAAAAAATGAAAAAAAAAAAAATTGAAACAAAATGTCGATATTTTACTGCGTAATTCATTTTTTTACGAATTATAACAACAACTACAACCACACACAAAAAAAAGAACGTAAATAATTATAATTATTATTGTAAACAATTACAAACCGAAACAGCCGAAAAACGAAACACAAATTTTGAATCGAAATTCATGAAAATTGTATGAAATTCCAGTTCATATTCCACGGAGACTAGATGCCAAATCACACATAAACACACATATTCTCACATGCACGCAATAATAATATATATCTATATTATATATAAAATTGATAACGACACATGAAAGTTGAGTAAATTGAATTTTTCGGATTTTGATCTGATTTAAATCTGTGCGCTGCGCGCAATGCAGTCACACCGTCTATCTTTTTATCTATCTTTCACTCTCTCACACAAACACGCACACTTACATATATATACATACACACCAAAATTCCCTCATTCTCTTTCTCTGTCTGTATATATAAAAATGTGTTTATATAATGCGTGTTTACACAAAATCCCAATCAAACTGATGGGACAATTCAAAATCAAACGAAGAACGAAACAAACGAATGAACGAAAGCCCGGAAACATGCTCAAGGCTGAAATGTGATTTGTCATCTGGCATTCGAGGGATTTATTTATACATAGAAGAAGAAGAAAAAGAACTCACAGTAAATAAAAACAGACAAAATTAATGATTGTAAAGAGTACAGAATAGCAACCAACAACAGGCACAAACAAACAAACAAGAAAAAATCATCAAACCAAACAAACACATTTAATTAAGTTTTGATGAAGTGCAGTGAAAAGCATATTGTTAGATAACAGAAAAGTCAGAATTTTCAATTATTGTTATACTTTTACTTGATTTAATTTTTTTTTCGCCACCTCACAACCCAATCAATTCGATATAACTGTGTATTTTATCGAAGTGTACAATTATCCTTTTTTTATACAATAAATTGTTTGATTCTCTTTTTTTCTCTTGTTAAAAGTCGGTGGATGTTTCAATTGATCAAAAAATGTTTATGAAGTATATATATATAGAAGGAAGAACAGAACCAATCCGCCCCTTTTGATGATGAAAACAAGCGCATATGTGTATAAAATCAGATTGTTTGCCGCAGTAACGCAGCCAATTTTATGTTTTTTTTTTCATCTCCCTTTTGTTGTTAACTAGGTGCTTTTGCGCTTTTGTCTTTGGTTGTTTGCCATAGTTAGATTCTTTTTCTACAAATCTAGTAAATACCGATGGAATAAACAAAGAGAAAAAATAATGATGAAGAAAATCGAAAAAAAAATTAACAAATTATCAATCATACACAACATCACAGACACATACAACACAAAAAAAATGAAAATGAACAACAGCCGAAAAAAGCTACACAAACTGATGAAATGGAGGAAAGAAAAGGAAAAAAAACATGAAAAATATATTGTTATCATTGCTGAAACATTCTTTGTGTTGAATTTTTAATGAGGAAAAAAAAAACAAATATAATAATTAATATATTTTTAATATGTACGGTGTTTAAGTATATGATTCATATAAAATATTGTATGCATGCACATTTGAAAAACAACAAATTACAAAGACAACCAACTGCAAGAAGAAGAACAAAAACAAAACAACAACCAAAACCAAAACCAACAACAAAAATCAAGTGGAAAGAAAATTTTAAATAAATGTACTTTTGAAACGTGGAATTGTGCTGGTTTACTTTTCAATGGCTTTATTCTCTCTTTCTCCCTCTCTCTCTCTCATTATATATATTTTATTCGATCTATTACAGTATATTTGAGCCCCATAACATGGATAGAACTGAATGAATAACCGTAAGTTTGCACAGTCGATAATGGCAACAGCAAAGGAATGAGAATGAAAGCGATTCGCTGCATGATATTTCATTTTCTATATGTGCAAAATACGGGTTTAAAATGGCTCATTTTAGTAAACACGCGGCACTGGTGACGGCAGCAGCAACAACAATAATAGCAGCTTAAGCTTAATATCATAATCCCACTAATGCTTATAAATATAATACCATTTAATATTTCGGCTCTTTTTCTCGTTCCCGCTCTCACAATTTACTCGGTGCTTTTTTATATTCATTTTTTTTTCTGCCAATTTTATTGTCCATTTTCTCGCCTACCCTTCAGTAAAACTTACACGCACACCGTCCCTTGTCCACGGCATAAATCGTGGATAGCTCAATGAAGAGATGCCATATTTCAATTATAGCTTAGGCCATTTGTTTCGACACACAATGAACACACATAACAGCTCCCTTCAAAAAGAGAAAAAGAAAAAGCGAAAGTTCGTAAAACTCCACCTTTTGAGTCGTCCCCCGCCGACCAATTGACCGACCGTCGCGCAGTAAGAACAGCAACAACAACACCACCACCAGCAGCAGCAGCAGCAGCGTCACAAAAAAATAGATGAAAATCTCAACACATAAAAAAGTCCACACAACAACAATAACTGCCACATTGACGATCAATTGTATTATCCAAGATAGTCACAAAATGAGCGCAAAGTGTCGGCTAACGGGAATTGATAACGAAAAGACGGAAAAAAGAAGACCATACGATGAATATGCTCCCCTTTCTGCGCCGCCTCCTTCCTCTCTCCCATACCAATCGAACGTGTTTATACATCCATAATACATTAGAAAGCATATTTCTTCAATGCATTAACATTAATCATAAATATTCACATAAATTTTCACCATCTGGTTTTTAGTCATTTTTGTTTCGTTATTGTTGCTGTTCTTACGGGGCGCCAAAAATTTCTGCCGTTCAATTCGTGTATCGAACGAAGTGTCGATGTACTACTTCTTTATGCGTATCAGTCAGTCAACCAGGCCGGTCTGCGTGTGTTTATACACTCAATATTTTGCGTGCGTACGGCCTGATGGTTTTTAGATTATGTGTGTATATGCGTTTCGAACCCATGTTTAGTAATATCGGTTGTATGTCAGTTTAGTTTGTTCTGATACGTATCTTTGCTGCGAAAAAAAATAGATTTGACACTATACAAAAACGTTCGCACCAACATTAATAAGAACGTCGAGCAGAAAATGTGGTTCTTTTCTTTCCAGGTAATTGGTCAAAATGGTGCGGAAAAAATTACGCGCATCGAACCTGAACAACAACGACAACCGCCACACGACTGAAAACGAAAAAAACAATACCATACTCACAACACCCAAAAAAACAATCTACTTCGACATCAAACCGCAAACATTGAGCTTACACTGTTCATTCGCCTTTGTAGCTCGCTCGCGTGCACGCACACACCGTTCTTAAATTAGAATTCTTGCGTGATTTTTTACACTCGGCATGCCAGCACCAGAATTGTTCTCTTGTTCTGGCTCTTCTATCGTTATATCTGACTTGGGGGCGCTATAAATTTCATCATCATAAACATTAAAAGCGTTGCCGCTCTCTTTCGCTTGTTCTCATCTCACCGTTTTTCACTTAACTCTCACCTTCATCATCATCAGCAGCAATAGCAATACCATCATTTATTAACCTATCTGGTTTGCTCTCACATCACGCCCTCCTCCCCCATGTCAAGCATACTGAGCCAATTGCCGGAAAAACAATGCAAAGAAATCAATTTGTTATTTTCATTTCGGGTCAGATAAAATGGGAAACAATTCGTGCGACTAGGAACAACTAATAATGGCACACGCATACATTTAATATGCCACGAAATCGATTCATCGAAATTTTATGCGCGAGAAAACGGTGAAAACGACGACGATGACGCGAAAGAAAGTCCACGGTGGAAAAGTATAATTAGTGAACGTTTTAGTACACATTATATATGACTCGCATATTCGTTTGGATAATAACGATAGTTTTGGTTTTAAGCGATCACTCACTTTACATAACTCGGTGGCTTCCTGACACACTCTAAGCTCTCAATTTACATGAAATAGTTTTTGATTTATATTAACCAATGACTATCTCTAAAATAGTATTTCAACATGAATTCGGCTTGATTTGGTAAAACTTGGTAAACTACTTGGTTCCTATTTGTTAATCCTACAAAGGTAAGTGTTGTGTTACCAGTTAAACATGCGAGTCATTGGAACAGCCAACAGAGTAACACATTCGCAAAACTCATGGTTCCAATGTCCAATCAGCCAGCATTGATATATTTGAAAAAAGGAAATGAAATCGCTTCGTCATATTTGCAGATTTGTTGGGAAATATTTGGCTACTCTACAAAGTCGTCCAAATGCGTCTAGTGCATTTTGAAAGCTTATGACTTTGTAAGCTAAAAATTTTAAAACGGAAAAAGTTTATCATTCGAATAGACACACATGTGTTCTATATAGAGGCAGTGTTGATTTTTAGCATAATAATTTTGTTGATTTGAATTTTTCATTTATTCATCATTCAAAAACAATACAACTGCATTACAAAAATGTGTATTCAACTGGTTCGGAAATTGTGGATTTTGTTAAATTCATCCTTTCAAAGTGATGTAAGTTCTCGTGCATCCCGTGTTTCAAATTACATTGGTCAGCCATCATTTAGAAGTAGCTTTCTATATTTGATATCCTTAAGACATAAAAAATGGGAATATTTCAGAGTTTTTAACAGGCTTATGACATGACGTCAATAGACAGTTTAATAAAATGTGATTTTTTCAAGTAACTACAAATAATGAGACAATCATAAATGATCCACTGACACTTTGCAGTCAATCACGAATTCCCTTCGCGATAAATTATCTTGAAATAAATAATACGGAAACGGAGATAGAGGCAATAACCATGCATATGAATTCATACAAAGCGGCAATGAACCAAACGGTATGGTTGGCAAAAAAATCTCGTAAAAATCATTTTTTTTAAAATGACCACAGAGGATGGAAGCCTCTCCGTCATACCAATAAAATGAAATCGATATGCAACCTAAATTGCTTAGTCAATTCAAAATTGACACATGTATACGCAAAGAATGTGAATGAATAAATAAGAGAAGCTGAAAAGAAATAATAACTGTGTTGCCGAGATTGAATGGAAATTCCTTCATTTTTCTTACTCACTCACGCCATCAATTGAAAATGGGCTCTTTCGTTTGTTTTCTTCTCACCATTATTCACTTACCTCTCACTTCCATCATCATCAGTACAACCACTACCACGTACCACCACCTCCACCCACCCATCTGGTTCGCTTTCTCATCTCTCTCGCACCTCTTGCGAAGCATACTGAGCCAATTGCCGGAAAAACAATGCAAAGAAATCAATTTGTTACTTTCACTTCGGGTCAGATAAAATGGGAAAGAATTCGTGTGACTAGGAACAAATAATAACGGCACACGCATACATGTAACATGCCACGAAATCGATTCACCGAAAATTTATGCGCGAGAAAACGACGGAAAAAATGACGAAACACCGAAATGAGAAAACATTGAACAGTTCATATTCGTTGGTGCGTTTGTTTGGATTTCTATTGTTCTTGTGATTCATTGTGGCTGTGATGTGTTGATTAAGGCGAAAAATGGACGCTGTTTTTTTGCCAGTCGCAGGGGAAGAATCATTAGTGTGGCAATTGTGTGTTAAGCCACATCGATGATAACGTTCACAAATTTACGCGATAACAAACGTTGACGTTGAACACGCGCCCAAATAAAAAAAAAGTCATAATTAAATTACCCAATTTTTGATTTGTTTACTTTTTGTTTTAGTTTTTGTTTTGCGTTTTTATAACATCCGCATTATTGGATAAGCGTCCATTTAGAATTTTTTATTGACTTATTTTACCCAATTTTCCGTCATACTTACATATTTCATTGATATTAATGAATTGTGCATATTGTGTGCTTGCCGCATGCGGTCAGTTTGTAGCCCGTTTATATTAGACAGACAGTACCGTACGCGCGCCCACGTATCGTCACGGTTTTACTGAAAAGCGTGCAACTTCTCTTTTCATCACACTCCCCAGCCAACAAGTCGGATGGTGTTGGATAAATTAACAGGAAAATCGTTTTCCACATTAATGCCTCCAACTCTAAAGACAAATGTATACACAATACACAAACAACTAGGTCTAAATCAATAAATACACACAGTTCAACATTTGTGTTACAAATTTTTCGCATTCTTTGCTTTATTTCCGTCATTTGAACATTTTTTTCTTCTTTCTCTTTCTCTCTCTCTCTCTCTCTCTCTCTCTCTCTCTCACTCTCATTCTGGTGTACAGTTTGTTTACAAAACGAGCATAGTATGCTGGAGACAAAAGAAAAGAAAGAAAGTGACTTCGAACGTATACTGTTCACTTTTCCTCTTAACCCTGCGGCCAGAATTATTATGATATATTTTAATACGGTGATTTCGGTGTTTTCCGAAAGCGATAGAGATAAAGATGGTAAAGATAAAAGGAAGAGAGACGGTTGGATGATACAAATAAATCAAATTTCGACATTCGACGAGAGAAAAAGAAAAAAAAGATATTACAACCGAAAATGTTGAAGTAATAGCTAGCGGTTATTCCATTTTAGCTATCATCCATGCTTAAATCCGTCGCTGTGAATAATTCCATCAAATTTTCGACAGTACATTTTCGTGACGACCAAAATCCCGTCGCATCATTTGATATGGTGGTTCGGATGGTTTCTTCAATTGTATTGAGCACGATGAATCGATGAACGTATGTCTTTCTAGAAATTGAATAATAATAATGCGAGACACAGAGAGAAAGAGAGAAAGGGAGAGAAAAAAATGCAAACAGTATTACAATAATGAACTTGGGAAGAGAAACAAAAAAATATTGTTGTGTGTGTGTGTGTAGCGTAATTGAAATGTTAAACGATCGTTACAACAGGCACGACAAGACAAAGGGAGAGAAAAGAAACGGATACATACTTTGTTTGGCCCATACGATGAATACGACCGATTGCCTGTAGTTCTTCGCCCGTGTCCAAAATCGGCTCAATGAAAAATACGTGCGTCGCTTCGATGAGATTCAACCCTTTGGAGCCATAGCTCAATGGAAGAAGCAAACAGGTGACATCCATATCTGGATCCTGCAGGATGATTTCATGTAATTTAAGCCAATTTAGTGTTTTTGTTGTTGTTGTTGTTGTTGTTGTTGCCGGCAAACATTTTTCAACACAGACTAAAAATAAGTTTCAATTTTCATGCAAGACAAAAATACATACTTTGAACTCTTTGATGGTCTGGTAAAATTTCTCGAGGCGACTTCGGAATGAAATATTCGTTTGAACGAGTGCGTCTTCCAAAACATTCAAGATGTACGACCATTGTGAGAATATGACGATTTTCACCGTTGGATCGTCCTTCTTTAGCTTGGCAATGTGCTGAACAATCGTTTCAATTTTTGACGATGAATCAGTGAGCTGCAGCTCAGTTTGCAATGTCACGTAAAACACTCTGTGTGCGTAAAATGGTGTGGGGTAGCATGAGAAGGGGGAGACAAAGGAAGAGGCGGAGAAGCGGTTCGTAAATTTTTAGAGGGGAGCGCCCAAAAGAAGCGTTTAATAAATTACCCGAAAAATAATATGCATTAATATTCCGACGGATACGTACTTGTGTTTGTTTTGTGTATGACGACAGATGTGGCATCTAAATGTCGGATTACCTTTGGGCATCGATCGTTTCCAATTCAAAAAGCATTTCATACACACGTGGTGGCCGCACTCAAGAACAACGTACTGATAATAATAATCAAATCCATAACAGCATACACCACCGAATATCACCGTTGAAGCAGCAGCAGCAGCACAATGAAAATCAATTTTCAAGCAGACGGTTAATTTAATTTTTACTTCATCGGAATGAATAATTTTGGAGGCGCACAAACCTTGGTCTCCGGACGCGTATCACAAATTGGACACTCTTCGACCGTTTGGTTCTTTTTCAAATGATTCAAATACTTTAATTGGCCCAGTTTTCGAACGAAGTCCAATTCAGCTTGTTGCAATTGGCCTTTCAAATCCATCATATTTTCGTCAACCTACGTGATTGTGTGCACACGCGAGGGTGGTAAATCAAGTGGATATTATGGTTAAATTCACATGTATTTTTCAATAGGCGATGAATGCAACGTGAGAATCACACGTCAAAATATTCAAGCAAAATTCATTCATCGGTATACAAATATGCAAATGAACGGTGTGTATGTGTGTTCATTTTAGATGCCTACCTCGTACTTGGAAATAATCAAATTTGAATCCATTACAGATTCGTCTTCCAATTCGATCGGATCGACGGCTTGTGTACGTGACTTACACATTTTCAATTCGTCATACGCCGATACCGTATAGTTCACCTCGACCCACAATCGACTCCAATCCTGTAGAAAGAGAAAGAGAGAGAGAGACAGAGACATAGACAGAGACAGAGATAGAAAAAATACACACATTTTCACCATCAAAACATCACACACACACACACTTTGGCTGCTGTGATTTTTGGTTTGACTCTTTTGATTTCATGAAATACCATTGCATACCTTGCTTTCGTTTCGATATGCTTCCAGTAAGTGCAACAACGTTTTTCCATCTTCTTTAAATTCAATATCAATGTTTCTTATGTGACTGAGAATAACTGTTCAGGGAATCAGAGATTGGCATCAATTTTTAATTACCGCCCCATTGAAATTGTGTGAATGCTTCACTTACTTTTGAGAACGGCTTCTTGGTATGGAATTTTGTACGAATACACATCTTTGCGAACATCGTTTTCAAGTTCGATCATTTTTACATTTGAAATGTGGTCAACGATGACGCTTTCATAAGCTTTTAGCTGCTCTTTGGCCAAGCACATTTCACACGATTCCTTCTTCTTCTTCTTTCTTCGTGGGCCTTGTTCTTCCTCCTGAAATTAGGCAAACTCTGTCTGTATGAGTACCCTTCACATCTATTCTATACTATGTTCAATTATTGATGCATTCTTTTCCGACTAATGACTATCAAAATTAAATTTGATATCGTTACATTCTGAATTTGTACCTCTTCTTGTTTGTTCTTGTTTTTCAGATGGCATTCATACGCTTGATTCAGAAATTTGAGCACTTTGCCGCGATGCTGCGGATCGATTTGTGTGATTGGTTTGAAATTATTGATGTAAAATCGTAAATTCCCGAAGATTTTTTGAACATTTTTACGCTCTTCTATCACACGATCCATCCAGAGTGTTAATACAAAAATCAAACCGTCCATCGTTTGGAACCTATTAATCACAACGGAAAAAAATATACATGGATATGAAGACACGAGATATGGAGAATCGATGACATCATTACATAATTGATATTATAATAATAACAAAGACTATCATGTCTTCAAAGTGTGAAATATCATCTGATTTTTTTTTTGTTCAAAAACAAAATTACACTCACTGCAGCATAACATCCGATAATGCGCTTGGAACGTCGTTCTTCTTTCCGTATGACACTTTGATCTCATCAATAATCCGTCGCAACAGTTGATTCGAATCATGTGGTTCATTTTTCAGTGCATTTAACCACCATTGATACTCATTGGACACCAATTTGGAATGAATTGTTTTAATTCGTTCTTCCCATTTCGTTTGGTCCAAATGAATATTTTTGACCAATGTCACATATTTTTCCAGGTACTTAGCTTCCAATCGGTTCAAATCCTCGTGAAAAGCTGCTGTCTCATTGTCATCGATCGATGCATCAACATCCAGAAGATTGTGAATGGCATGGATTTGAAGTAGAGTGTCAACACTAATTTTATCACTGTAATCTTTGGCCCATTTCAACACTGTTCGATACAATTTTATCGCTTCGGCATTTTCTCCTTTAATCAGGTGCAATGCAGCCGCACCGTTGAGAGACCATGCAATTGTGCGTAGCTCCGACTTAGCTTCGATTTCATTTTTGTTCATTAAATGTTTGAGAAGTTCGTCGGGTTTCAGATTTTTCTTGTTTTGATTCAAATTTCGTTCGAAAATACTGGGCACCGAACAATCCTGACGAAGTTTTCGCAACGGTTCCAATACGAGTTTCAGCATGTGCGGATTGAGTGTGGCGAGTTTTTGTTTTGCACCAATTTTCATACTGTTTGCACGGAAATTTTGTGAACATTTCGCGTGCTCTTTGCTGTAGTAGTAATTTTCCAGATCAGACATATGAATGTGATGCACGAGTTCGGTTTGTTCTGGAATATTGACCTGGTCCATAATCTCTTTCGATTTACATGTTCGCCACATAATTTTCCGTAGCACCGAAACAATTGGCTTAATGTTCGCATAGTGAATGAACTCGTTCGTTAGCTCATTCCATTTTTCACGCTCATCGTATGGTGAACAGCCAAGGAAACAAATCAAACCGTACAAATCATCGATTGACTTTTGGATTGGCGTTCCGGTTACACCCCAACGATGCACAGCCGATAATTGGGCCACCAAACGGGCCGGCTTTGTTATCACAGAACTAACCATTTGCGCTTCGTCCAAACATACACGCCACCAATTCACAAATAATAACGGCGTTCGCACGCTCAAATAACGAGCCGGACGACGCAGTGTACGCGACGATGGATTATGATTCGAATAGTAGAATTCACTTTGAAGCGTTGCATAATCGGTTAGAATGATGTCATACGAGGCCAATTCCATTGGACTTATCCATGATGAATTTTTCAAACCATCGTAAACAAGAACCTAAGCGAAGGAGAAACGAAAGTAAATTAACGAACAAAAAACTTTGCAGAAAAAAATTGATTTTTAAAATAATAATCATAAACTTATGAACAATCAGATATTATCTTACATTTGGAGCAATTTTTGAGACAAAAATTATATTTTCATCAAAACCAAGAAAATAAACATCAAAATAATTCGAATCTGAACACTACAAAAATGCGTTGATCGTACAAATGTAAATAATAAACAACATTTCGTGGAATGGCGACTTAAAATCGATGTACCGTTAATTTTGCGCTTGAATTTCTTCGTAAACATTCAACGATTTTTTTTTTCCATTTTCATCCAAACATTTCAAACCATAAACATTCTGAATCACAAACAATTTGTTCAATGAAAAATCAACTCAATTGGACTTAAAAATAATCTTTTAATCAATATGAGAGTGTTTTTATCAGTGAACATTGAAAGAAAAAAACTATCGCTGACAAGACGAACGAATAAATGTATTTATTTTCTTAAACGAATGCGAAACATTAAATAAACACTCACTTTGAAATTATCATCACTGATGTGTTTAATGACTTCGTCTCTCCATTGCAATTTGATCGATGGAGGCGAGACAATGAATGTGGTTTTGGCTGTAAGTGGTTCTTCTTTTTGCCAGCATGTCGGGCAAATGTATTGAGTATCGGGTGTTGTCGGTTTGTCGCGTTGAGACACGCAGCTGCGATGCTGTAACATGCAACAACGTGTACATCGAACGGTATCGGTGAGATTTTTCTTGGTGCATAAACATCGTAAAAAGTCTGAATCATCATTATCAAATTCATATTGGGTTAAATCAATGAATTGTTTATTATGTGCGCATTCAATGGCTGGTCGTGGATTCAATAGGATCAGATCGAGCATTTCGACGGTTTTGCCCAAACCCATTGCATCGGCCAATATGCCACCGCTTGGAATGGGAACATCATCATTTTTGTCAACCAAAAGAATGATGGTGCGTTCGTTGTAGAAAAACTTAGTGTTTGTGTTGAGATCAGGCCATCGTCGGATGACTTCTTTGAATTCAGTGGGAAAATTATCGATGATTCGTTCACGGTTCAGCATCCATTTGACGCCATCGATCTGATAGTGTGTCAGTGTGGGACGCAATTCGATGTGTTGAATGTATTCTTCGGTGTAATTGTGCACCGGGCCGGTTTCACGGTGTCCTTCTCGTAGCTGTTGATACAAATCATCGATGATTTTAACGGGCATCTCATCCGAATCATCACTTGCATCATCATCCTCAAAATCCATTAAATCATCGTCATTTTCATTTGCTGCCGATTCGGCTTCAACGATTGCTTCATCTTCAATAACAATTTCATCACTGTCAACAAACAAATTCTCCTGTTCAATCACGAAAAACTGTTCGACCAAGCATTTTGTTGCGCGCAAATATTTGCTCGGACGATTGCGAAATTCCATCAATTTCGGTTCGAAAACCAGCCACAACGTTTCCACCGTTCCATCACTGTATTCCCGTAGCTTGAATGCTGCTACAGCATTCATATCTGGATGGGAAATTTGGATAGAACAAAATAACTGTTATTGTTTACCATTCGATATGATGCGCAAATCATCAGTACATTACCTTTGATTACTTTTTTCATATCAATTTCAATCAACAACTTGTAACTGCTTTTGTCGTAGAAAAATTCATTTTGAAACACTTGTACAGTTTTTGATGTGTTTGTTGATGCAATTTTTTCGCCAATTTTGGCGATTTTCACTTGATCCGAAGCCATAGCATTCGGTTCAATATTCGAAATTTGTGTGAAACAACACCACAACTGATGGTTATATGTCAAATCGCTTTTGTTTGACAACCACCGTAAACTGCTGTTTCACATGGCTGCATACTTGGTCGCTGTCAGTCGCATGCTATTCAGCACATGGAACAATGAATACGAATGGTTTGAACGAGCGACAGAGATTGAAAGTTTTTTTTGTTGTTGTTGAACGCAAGAAATATCTTTGATAGATAGATTAATATTTTTTTTTGATTTCAAAAATTGATAATAAAAATTTCAATAAAATTAAAAAGTGAAATGAATCCAAATAAAACCAAATCCACCGTACCTACGAATGAAAGAAAAACAGTGCTGCAGCAACTGCCTTATCGACATTATTCAATGTCATCTGTTCCACACGAAGCATTCAACTGACAGTTATTTTTCGCGCCAAATATTGCTTTGCACACCGCATCTATCTGTTGTCTATATCGTTAGCGGAATCACGTAGAATAATCTCCTGTTTTTTTTTATTGAAATTTATTTCGTTTGAATCGTGAGTTTTGTTTGTTGAATTTTTGTGAATTGAAAAAAAAACGAATTGAAAAGAATGTCGACACCAAATGAAAATGGTACACCATCGAAACGGGCTCGGAATGAGAGTTCTGGTTCGCAAACACCAGGCAGAGAACCAATAACACCATCGCGCCGAACACGATCGGGTTCGCAACAAACGCCATCGCAACAACAAATGCGAACACCAAGTCGGAACCGTAAGTTTGATTCGTGAAATTTAATTCATATTTTATGAATGCGCACTTACCATTTTGCCTAATAAAAATCAATCGATTGATTAACAGCAATTTTGCAACAAGAATCTGAAACGCCGATGCGTATTGGTGGAAATGTACGTGGTAGTGTTGATGGTGGCGCAAGTGTTCGCGTGGCCAATTCAGATGTACCAACGTCGCCAATCATTCCATCAACCAGTCCGGGCAACACAAGTGTTCGTATGGCAGACATTGATTTAAGCTCACCGCTGAACTATGGCACACCAAGTTCAATGGGCTCAATTCGTACGCCACGGTCTGGCGTTCGTGGTACGCCAATTCGTTCTCGGCCGGATATTCGCACCGATCGACGCATTCGACAGGTTAACCTTGGTTCGGACAATGTAAGTAGTTTTGATTTTCATTTGATTTTTTAAGTGGTTTATCGTTTGCATCGAAATGAGAGATTTTCTCGGGTGGCCACACAGAAATTCATGCAAAAATTACGTCTAGTTTCATTTGATTCAATTTACACGTATTTTCCATTCTCCAGCTCGAGCCAATTGCTGAAGGTCGTTCCGATTCGGCTCCGATCAGTGAAACGGCTCCACAGCTTGTCATCTGGGGTACAAATGTGGTGGTCAGCGAATGCAAGAAGAAATTCACTCAATTTTTGCTTCGTTACATCGATATGGATGTGGCTCAAGACGAAATGTCGGAAAATATCAATTTGAGCGAGCCGTTCTATATGCAAAAATTGGAGGAAATTCATTCATTGGAAGAGCCATACCTGAATATCAACTGTAAACACTTGCAAACGTTCGACGAAATGTTGTATCGCCAGTTGATTTGCTATCCACAAGAAGTGATTCCAACATTTGATATGGCCGTCAATGAAATGTTCTTTGAACGTTATCCGGCCGCGATTTTAGAGCATCAGATTCAAGTGCGGCCATTCAATGCGGACAAAACACGTAATATGCGCGCATTGAATCCAGATGATATCGATCAATTGATCACAGTCAGCGGTATGGTCATTCGTTCGTCGAATATTATTCCCGAAATGCGCGAAGCATTCTTCAAGTGTATCGTTTGTTCGTTCACAACTACGGTTGAAATTGACCGTGGCCGTATACATGAGCCAACCATTTGCTCGAATTGTAACACCAACCATTGCTTCTCCATGGTACACAATCGTTCGCA